TTCAATGAATAATTAGTATTATATCTAAAAATAAATGTATGTGTGCTGTTCTCGTGACATTGAATTAACGTTCGAACTAGCAAATGTAATTCGCAGGGTGCCACAAATAAATATTACATGGTTGTCACGTCATTTTTTCTGACCAGTATATATATATATATATACACATATATATTCGCATAGATGACCGCGATGGGGATCCTTTGATATCCTAGCGCGTCAGACGTGTGACAGCTCGGACAATACCGGAGATCCTGCGTCACTGATTGTCACTTGTTTCTTGCATTTCTCTTTCTCTTCGATTTCGACCACGAATCCTGCGCGTTTTTCTCGCCACGTCGCCGCTCGACGCCTCTTTCTCCTATTACAAATTCAAATACGGGAAATCGCAAGGCGGACCGTAACCCTACGCCTTGAGAACTAGCGAGCGCGAATCCTGCCGACCGTTCGGATATCGATTTGTTAAACGCGGATGCCTGGATGCAGAAGAAAAATGATCACGTTGCATTTACGTGCACTAAGGGAGTTAATAAGGACGAAGCTCGGTTCTCGTGGCGGATTCGAGGAGGTGGTGAAAGAAGGGGAGGTGGGAGAGCATAATATGCCGCATTGTCGAATCACTTCCGGGGCTTGACCTCCAGTAACGCCCTAAAGACCAGTTTGCATGGACAACGTCTGCGGATAATAGGCACCGATGTGCTCTATTGTCGGTTTAAAACGGCGGACGCGTAGATTGTCTAAAATACCTACTTCACGATGGACCAACGATTTCATAATGTCGACAATGCCATCCCTACCGATGTCCCGTTCACGGTTCTTGAGAAATCGAATGAACGGAACCGGCATCTTCGATGCCCGCGAGTCGATGGGTTCTGGCAAGGGAAACGAAACAAAGAATATCGGTGAACTATGGTGAATAAATTTTGAATATATAATTTGATTAAAAAATTCACAAAATATTAATTTGTAGCATTTCAGACACAAATTTAATCTAACTGGTTCTTGTACTGTATTATTGTAATATTATTTTTCTTACATTTGCTCATCAATATAACGCATGCAAAATTTTATTAAATGGAAATTCTTGCTTTCAAGTACGTCGATTTTTATATCAATAATGTAATATTGATTTTTTATTTCTACGGCTTCGTTTTCCGAGAATTGTGAACCGTATATAAGTTTGCTGCGCAGTTTCTTCTTAATCTTTACGCTACATTAAATAATTATAATATGATATACGTATATAGATTACAATGAGTCTGATTCATATCGATATGACAACGTCATATATCGCACATTAACCATGCGGGATGGAACTTGTGCGGTTGACGATGGCATATTTCGTTGAGAATCACCATTAATATGATTTGTCAGTTGCATACGTCGCTAATAGCGAAGTTTTTCGACCGATTTGCCGAAAAAGTGCCCCGTATGGGCGCCGAGGCGCGTGCGGCTGCTTCAACATGAAAAACAAGCGGTACTCTCGTCCTCTTTCTCTCCCACGTGGTCGCTCCGAAAGGCGAACGGTCTCCAATCTGAGTCAAGAGACCTCGAGAGGGGTTACTGGCAACCACGTGGAAAAAACGTCGCCAGTTTCAATATGTAGACGAAGAAAAGTGAGAAGAAAAATGCTGAAAGGTAGAAATGTATTCGAATAGTCGGAAGAGTAGGAGAATTCTATGAGCGTAAATTTGCGACGTCTCGCGTGAATGATTGGTGACATATTTGAGGAAGAAAAAGATTTAAATTCTATAAAAGATTTAAATATTTTAAGTTTATAACTTTTAAACAAATAAAAAATTCACACGTTTTTCAAATTTATACACGTGATTAATAATCGTCCAACTGTTTTTTACATTTTGATCAATTATTTTTTTTTTAATGCGCATTATAATAATTTACATCAATTTGTATTTAATAGCGCTTTATACATATAACCATTTATTAAAAGTGATAAATTTACGTAAATCGTAGATTTAAATTTTTATTTAACACAATAACTATTTAAACGATGTTTATTTTAATACATTAATTCCTATTAAAGTTTATTAGACAGATCGCGTATATCATACTATGTTGAACAGATAGATTTTTACACATTCGTGCAATATGCGGAACCATTTTTCACATATGTCTACCAAAACACCGGCCGTCACGCAATATAAACGCAACTTGATCATTTAACTTGGGTTCTTGAAATCATTCGGCAAATTGGAACACGGCCTTCACGCGAGGGGTCTTTCGGCCCAATGAACTTAAGCTTTAGATTGGTTTAGTCGCCACGCAGGCATGCCGCAGGTCGGTGGCCCTGCGGATCACGCGTCACCGAACAGGATACGTCGGGAGAGGAAAGAATCCCGACCTCTCTTTTCTCCCGCCTTTTCCACGTTTTCTTCTTTTTTTTTTTGTATTTTATCTCACCCTTTCCAGCAGATCCGGAAAATAGGTAGAAATTTCGTGGCAGGTGATGTAATAGTGATACCTAAACTATCGGATTCCGACAATGGCTCAAGCCCCTCGCGAAGACGACTGTTATATTCTCTTTCGCGATTTTTGAAACCTAAAGCATAACGTAAAATATCCATTTCAGTTGGAAAATAAAATTTTACTACCGCTTATTTTATGCAAATAGTGAGTTACATGGAAACTCATAATGCATCTTAGAAATTACTGAATGCTTTTTAGAAATTAAAAAATTTAAATTTTGATACTCAAGATTATTTTGTTATTTTAGTCATTCATTGAAAAAGATTAATGATTGTTGCCGAGGGAGAACTATTACTTATAAATTGATCGGAAAATTGGCTCAGAACGATTACTCCAAGTTCGATAATCCCGTAAAGACTTATGTATCTTCCACCGGAAATTTCAGAGTGGATGAGCACCGAGGAAATTTAGGGTGAATTTCGGTTTCAAGGTTCTTGTTCTTCCCCTATTGATCCCGCACCTCGAGAACTTTGGTGCCTTTCCCGAAGGATGTGAGAAAAGGATTAGGATCGGGGAATAACGTGCGAATTGATCGAAAGGGAGTTTTTTTTGCTTCGTCAGATTCTGAAAAGATCGATTTGTGAGGTCTCCTAACTGTTCCGATGATTCGTTACCGATATTGTCATGAAAATTCCATCATAAGATATCCCATCTCTCTTCAATAAATTTATGTTTAAGAATTGAAGAGAAGTCTCCGTTTCGTGCGAGATAAACCATATTTATAACTTCTGCGGTGAGATTGCATTTTATCAATGAATAAAATATTAGTCGCTGCGTCAGGTCGTATTAATGCGCCCCCCCCCCTTCGGAAATTCGACGAAAGGTCTGGACGATTCTAAAAACTTTCTTTCTGTTTGCGGCGCACAGTTCGCGCGGCATTCGGAATAAACGCAGATCGACGTGAGAAATCGTGACCGACTCTGTCGCGCGACGTTTTCCCTCTCGCACGCTCGCACGTTTACGCGCGTGGGGTTGATAGATCGGCCCGACGAAACGAAGGGGTAGTTTGGCTTTAATCGATCCTGTAATCGCCGGTCCGACAGTTGGCCCCGGCTGCCTTTTTGTCGGCAGTTAGATGGATGGCGCCATTTACATTTTGTCAGTGCGACATGCGCTAACGCCGCCGCTATCATATCTATCACACCCTCTGGACCAGTGCTCGATCAGTTTCCTACTGTTCAAATTTGAAAATCTTTTCTGACGCGCATTGCAAATCGTCAGAAAATTCCCGAAGGATGCAACCGTGAAATATATGATCAAAATTATTGCGTTGTGGAAATATTATCACGTCATAGTTGGAAAAAATTTCATACAAACCGATGCAATGTAACTTCGACGACAAGATCTGATCAGGGAAATTGCGAATACTCTTATTATGAACCCGGAAAAAAAAAAACACGAATTATACTGCTGACGGTTTCACGGGCTAACTCTCCGATCCTGACTCCGAACATTGATTTCACGGTTGACTTAGGAATATGTGACGCGGCATATGCACTTCCAGTAAACTCCGCAGGAATCTGGAAATTTCAGAAAAAGAGAAAGCTGTCCGAGACGATCCAATTGACAGATCTGTCAACGTGGATGACACCTTCGGCGAGCGAGCCGCCAGGCCAGGTGTCTGCTGTCGAAACGAGGAGACAACTCTGTCTATCTGCTCGTCTCTCTTTCTCCTTCTCTGTTCTCTGTACCGGCATCTGCTGGATAATACCCGGGATTATAGCAGTAGGATAGAAAACCCACTGACATCGGTTAGAACGCGGAATGAAACATTCCTATACCGAACTCGAACTATAAACAGATCGATCATCTTTCAAACGGCTCGACGACAATCTGGAATCGAGATGATATCGGATAAAATTCGCGTGTGAATCTTCGTAAATTTCGAATAAACACATAAACATATGCTATTGATGAAAATATCACTAGTGTTCTAAAAGGAAGTTTGACAAATATAATCTCCCTATATTGGAAATAAAAATTATTTAACCATTTGTCGTATTAAAAAAATAATAATAATATAGATTTTTATATATCTGAGAAAGTAAAAGTATCTATATGTTAGAGCAATATTATTATATTTGGATATAATGATATGTGAAAATGTTTCTATTTTAATATTATATATTTGCGCGCACATTTTTTTTTTGTTATTTGCCAAAGATTAAAGAAATGTTTGTTAAAATTGCTCGCATCTTAATATTGTCTAAATATATGCAAATATTCTTTTTGTTATCGAAAATGTGGGAAATGTTGGAAAAAACGCTCGTTGATTAGCTCGAATAAAAAGTTTCCGTAAGCAGGAGCGTTGGAAGACTATTTCGCAACATTGAGAGCGCTGCAAATATTTCTCGCTTCAAAAGGTCAGTTTGAACTGATCGAGCACCGATCTATTCACTTTACGATCGCTTCGACTGCCTTCACTCGAGAATTCGAAAGCGGGCGAAACGATAAACACGTACACACAACATCTATACACGCACACACGACGGAGAGAGAAATGTACGACTCACCTCCCACGCGTAACGGGGGTTGAAAGGCTCGCTCGCCCATTTGCCGAGGAACGGCCCGAATCTCGCACCACGAGGGATGTCTTTGCGTGCGCGAACGTACGGGCCTCCGGGTGCCGAACCGCCGACCTCGACCTCCGGGACGGGTGACACCCATTCGCGGCTCAAGTGATCCTTAGGCTCCTGCTTTATCGTATCCTCTATGCGGACAGAAAATGTCAGCATATTTATGGACATTTTTCCTGAGAAAGAACCGACTCTCTCGAAACTCTAATCACAGAATCCATAGTCATAAAAATCACAAATTGTTAAAAATTTAATTACAATGTAATAATATTTCAAATAATAACGTTTAAAAGTTTTCTAACCGGCGATACTACGAAATAAGTGCTGCAAACATTTCGTGAGGTGCAAAACTCACGGTATTCATTGCTGTAATCCTGCGACCTCGAATACTCCTTCCGCGTGTTCTTCTCGCCGTAATCCCAAGACGTTTCCTCTCTTCTTCCCTAGAAGATGGCGACGGTTGATACTCCTCGTAATTCCGCGGCCGGCGCCGCTGCCGTAACTCCATCCCCGGCGAGTATCCGCGTTGCTGATAGGCGGTCGGCTGCGGATTAAAATCCTGCGAGATTTCGCCGCCAGTCTGGAGTGGCTTCAGATCCCTGTAAACGGGATTGTTGCTGCTGCTGCTGTTGCTGCTCGTGCGAGTCGATCCGTTTTCCTCCATTTCCGCGTTTTCGCTGCCGCCACCCCCGCCTGTCGCACCCGACGTTGACTCGCCTTCGTCGCTGCTTCCTGGGCAAAACAACATACGGAGGTTGTCAGACACATCGTAATCGATAAGTTTTGAATCTGAAAATCTGACACGAGAGATAAACATAACTTTTAAATTCACACATTATAGCAATATTAGCATTATTGCAAATTTAATTTTCAAAACATTTTTTTCACATTTTTTAGCTATGTATTTTTTTTCAAAAACTCGAATAATTAATAATTCGTTTTGATTAAACAACAGATGAATCAAAATCAAATCAATAATGTTCTTAAAAGTCACTAATGCTCGATCCACGACTGTGAATTTACATGTTTCGGAAAAACTTTACTTGACATATATCGATTGCTCGAATCGCAGGCATTTACTGCGATCTCGACAACACGCTATTTGCGAAAATCCAATTTAGCGAGCAGGATTTGCACGTAGAACGATGATGAGGGACGACTTTTCGGAACGTGACGTATTGATTGGTCATTTCTGAGAAAGCGGTAGCTCGTTGTTCCCGCAATAAAGTCGCGGTTCGTGATATTAAACGCAAGTGCGAGCGTTTTGTTGCGAGAAAGGTCGTGGCTTCGTGTAAACTTTGCGGCTCGATGAAGGTCGGTAAATCGTGAATGATTCTGTACGAGGAATAAAACGAATTTGTTTGCGACCCTTCTTTCTCTCTTTACGACTTGAAATCCTAGATACACAAGGACAAGTGTCAATTGGAGTACGCTATCTGCCGTGTGTTTCTTCGGCGCAGCTGCCGCGTGCACGCAGTGACACCCAAAGCCGAGGATGTTTGCTATGATAAGAATTTTATTATCCTCTTGTCGGCTGTTTTTGATACATCGTGACATCATCTAGTGTAAGATATCTGCGATGAATGGAACCTATCAAATGTGCTATCAAATAACTTTGAAATTATTACCGTCGCAAACAGCTTATAGCTCCATGCGGAAATATACAAATGTAATAAGATGCAATGAGATATGTCGGTATATAATTATTAAGAAAAAATTAATCGAATATTATCAGAGCCTTTTAATTTCTTAATATTCAATTGCATCTTCACTCTCGTGGAAAATGTCGACTTTATTTCACATCTATTATTTGTCCACGACAATTATATCATGTTCGAAGTGACAAAGAAACATCACACGAATCTGGTTTTGTTTGTACAACTCTAGCCCGGATATGACGGACCTTTTTTAACTGCGGTCTTATCTCCGAATCGAAAGATATCTGCGTAGTGTATCGGCTATCTAAAAACAAACTATGAATTTTATGCGCATTCTCAAAGCCAGTCTCGAGAGACCTGCGAAGAGTCCTCTGCAAACAACGATGCCGTGTGAGTCGACGGCTAAAGACAAATGATCGTTTTAGCGGCGAGCTGACAGGTGTATCGAAGACAAATTGCCGAGGAGGAGTAGAGAAGATAAAAAAAAAAAAATGCTGTAATTTGACGGTCAAGTTTTTCTAACAATTAATTTCGATATTCTAACAATACAAAATTAATCAATGCTTTATAAGGCCCCTTTGTTACATACTTTGCTCTCAAATAAAAACTTAATTAAAGCGTAAAAAAGGGGGTGGAAGATATTTGACGCTCCGCTGCATGTATGCAAGACCGATGCATGTTCTGTACTGCAATAAAACGTACAAAAATATCAATTTTACGATGCCGGCTTCAATTCCTTTCTAATCGAGAGAGTAAACAAAGACTTAAATATCCGTCGACTCACGTCGGCGCGGACGAGTCGTAAAAGAAAATGATGATCCTGCGAGTTGTGCTGGTCGACACGAAGCTCAAAGAGACAGAGGATGTCTACGAGTGTCGATATCGAAATGTGTCATACAGATAATAGAAAGAAAGAAATCACTGATAATAAAAAACTAACGTATCAATTTTGACTCTTAGAACGTAAACTGTTATGACATAGAAAAAGATATTTATGTGAATAATTATCACAGTTATGAAGTAATATATAGCGAACAATTAATTAATAAGAATTGAAACAACGCTAACAAAGTTCAAAACATTTATCACAATTGAAGAGAAAATTGTTTTACAAAGATATTTTCAAATTAATAATTGCTATTGCGTTGTTTCTTTCTCGAGGTTTATATTTTATATATTCATATCTATTTCCAAAAAAAAAAGGAAAAGAAAAAGTGCAATAAAGTAGCAATCATAAATACATTTCAAAACAGAAGCGCAACTGCGATACGACACAATACTGCTATCTAAAATTCGGTCTTAATCGACAGAATAAACACGATTTAGCGGATATTCGCTCGTGGCCGCAGATAATCGTAAAGAAGAGGCCTAATCGCGCGAGGGTACGCTGGATACGCATTCCAGATTGTCACGCGCAAGGAGCCAATATGATACAACAACAATATTTGGAAAACCCTCGAAAGCAGGGGTCTTTGACTCCTGTGGGATACAAGTGCCGGAGTATATTCTCCCTTGAAGTACGAGTATACTTGTTGAGCCATGCGTGACATTATCCCTGATGATAGTAGCTCGAGAGGCTCTGAGGATGATTAGAGCGAAGTGCCGCTCTAGTATAGCTTACACCGTGGAATTAATCGTGGGAAGAGTCTCTTTTTTTTCTATCGATCGAGAAATTCCTCCGGTTAATTTCGATTATCTATAATATGATTTAATTCTGACAAGTGCAATAAGAGATGTCAGTCTCTATTCTAAATTTATAAATTTTTATTAATCTTCTTTTCTAAAAATTATATCTCTTGTTATATTTTTGAAGAGAGAAAAAGAGAGAGAGTTTATTGTTTTATTGCAATTCTATATTGAAGCCCCACTGACTGCGCATTTTATAAACCAATAAACAATAATTACAATGTTATTGATAGTGTAGATAGGCGGCTAATGAAAATCATTCCATCTCTCATTTTGCGTTACGTGCTATTTACTGTGATAATAATAATAATATGTGTTTATCCCGGTGGTGAGAAGTAGTTAGCGAATTATAAAGCAAATGACTTTTTTGCATCGCACGAGCCTATTGAGATCGATGATTGATGCGCGTGTGCGATACTTGGTGAATTCGCCTATCGATTGCTTGTGTAGCTGCATGCGCCAAATATATAGGCAGTTGACATTTTACGATCAAAGGGTTTAAGAAACGATCAAGTAATGATGGATTAATCTATCATTAAGTAGAGACACGAGGCCAAACGTACGCGTTCAAATAATGTCGCGTTTTATTCGAGACTAGATTAAAAAAAAAGGATAAAGTAAAGCTTGTAAAAAATACCTTAAGCTCATATATTCTTCTTTGCTAAGGTAAGAATCAATATTGTATATTTCATATTCGTTTCGCTTCACCGTAATTAGTTGTTTATTCAATTAAGTATATTTGCTACTAAATATAACATCAACATTTTTAAATATCAACTAAAAATCTATAAGAACTAATTATTATGAAGCAAAATAAAATCTAGAATAATGCATTTTGAATGTCCGCGAAGCAAGATAGTGCTGTTAAGAGTTTAAGAAACGCAAATATAACTTCCGGAAAAGATAATTAAAAAAATTTGCGACTAAAGATATGTCGGAAGAGCGATTGCACCGTGGGTCACGTTCGCAGACCGCGTTACTCTGACCGCACAGGACATCCTGGCGATACGAGAATCCTTTGGAGAACGCAACGTACTATGTAGCAGAGCACGAGGTTGCGGGAGCGACGCTAGTTACCGAAAGCTCCATTGCGGATGGCGCGATTATAAACCTCGTTGACAGTATCAAATCTCCCTACCATGGCACACAGATTGGGGATTGAGGTTAATTAGAAAAGTGACGCAATCGGATCCTGCGGCCAGGAGCAATATCGTAAAATGTCGATAAGGTTATCAGCGTGTCACGGAATTACCCAGCCGACGCAGGCCAAATTAGACAGAAGATCGAATCTCCGGATCTCGAGTCCAGTTTCCGGACAGGCTGTGTGGTCAAGCGTGCTTGATGTTTGCACCGAGTACAAGAAGATACTTGATTTCTACAAGAAATATTTTATAGAACGCATAATGACAGCGAAATGTCTCCGATTACGAAACGGACGCTTTAAAAGCTGGTAACATCGATTTTTTTTAAAGCTGTTTGCGGTCGTAAAATGGTAATTTTTCGTTTGTTTATTTCGTTTCGAGGTAATTTTTAGTTCTCTATTATGTAGCTAAAATTATAAATCATAATAAGAGAACCACGATTTTGTTAAATCCGACAGTTGATGAATATTAAAATGCACAGTCAGATTCAAATTAGACATGAAACAAGCGTAGATTAAATTTTGCAAGCATATATCTTAATTCGGAAAAAAAGAAATACTTTTATTAACAGTCTCTCAAATTATGATGATTAAATGCAACATTGTCATTATTTTCACAACAATGTGTTGTGCGTCAGATATCAATAACTACGTCTATTAACTTGTTCATCACTTCACCTTCGCTCTGGTGACGCAAATCGCGCGCAGCATAAAAATGATCATCGCGAAAAACTCTTTTCGCGAACGATGTCAATCTACTCTATCGAACCGATCGCAGTCTCCTCGACTTACCGTTCATCTTACAATCCACGGCGGATCGGGACAAGTCGAGGCCGTTCATCGGTGACTCGTTTCGAATCCGGAGTACTCCGGATCCTCCAAACGATTCTGGATCGGACGAGAATCACTGTCGACACATCGGTATCACAAGAGTCTCCCTTTCACGTGATCACGTCAACATCACGAAAATGCCGAGCAACGTCGGTCAAGATTCTCCGGCGAACCGAATGTCTTCATGATCGAGCGATCGATGAGGTCGGATCGTCTGAGAGCGCGGAGTCGCGAACTCCAACTGGAATCCCGAAAACCTCGGGGGTAGATGCGATCGCGGGGGGTTGACTCGCGTAGCGAGCCCTTCCAGACGAGCGACTGCAGGGAGGAGACGGACAACGGGAAGAGCGCTGCTACGTGTCAGCTGGCCCTTGGCGGACTAGAGGATCCAAAATCTGTTGAGAAGAGGATGGCACGACGAGGGTTCTCTCGGGATCCCAGGGACGATTCACGGGGTGTGGCGGATTGCTTCCAACGGGACCTCTGGTTGGCTCACGGGCGGAGCAACCCCTATCGCATCGGGGTCCCCACCAAGGCGCCTACAGCATCCCTCGGAAGAGCGAGCGAGAGGGACGTGGTGCTTCAGCGGTGGAGCGTAATGCGACTGTCTGAGAGAACGTGAGGAGGGGATAATAGGGGAAGGGATAATGTAACGTGACGCTGATAACGAAGGAGATTTCGCGGTAGCTGAATGTCAAAGTCGAGCGTGGTATTCTTTTTTCGAAGACGCAAGAGAGAGAGAGAGAGAAAGAGAGAGTTGAGTAAAAATCGATCTTAATAGATGCAATTAATAATTTGAAATCGACAACATAAATGATCAATTTAACTAATCAATGAATATATTTTTTTACATTCAGTGTGGATAAATATACATTTTAATATGTGATGTGATGAAATGTGTATTATAATAATTGCTTTCCGTTTATTATATATTATTTGCAAGGTTAGGCAATACAACATTAAAAGCAAACAGTAAGAACTAATTTTGGAAAAAATTAAAACAGTTTCATAGGAAAAAAAAAAATATAAAATTATTAGCTTGCCATATCAAGTTTTTAAAGTATAAAGAAGGAGTAAAACAAATTTATAGTTTAAAAATACTATTATTATATGGATAAAAAATTTTTTTAATTAAACTAATTTAAATTTAAATAGTTTTAACACGACAAAGGCAATATTTAGTCGAGATACGTTACGAATCTGAATAACACCGAAATGCACCGTTGGTGTGTCTCCGACTCATTTCTGCATAGACGTTTTACATTTCTCTTCGTTCTTCGCTTCGCAGTGAATTCACGAATGGACGTATGCGAAACCTTCAATTTTACATATTAGTAGTTAGCGGTGAAACGTCAATGCATTGAAATATTTTTTATCGCCAGAAGCCTCTGTCGAAAAGCATGAGGATGCAAGAAAGAAAGAACCCCACGCGGAGAGGAGATCAGCAGGACAGCCATCGAAGTCCTTATTGGACAAGGGTGACCACTTTTTTACTGAGAAAAGTGGCTGTCACACACCTCCCAGTCTCAATTCTCAATTTTTTTTCTCAACCACGCGCCACAATTCGCCGTGATTCGTCCATCGAATCGACTTCAAAGTCAATCGAAGGAGTAGAGTATCGGAAACGTCAATCTCACATATTGTTACGTCTTACTTTCTAATGGAAAAAATGCCTTTCTTCGAATATGTAACGTTCGTTCTAATCAAAAACGAGATTTGAGGTTTTCTCGAAAATCGTAACAGCTGGAAAACAGCTCGAAACAAGCTTCTTCAATTACTCTCGTATGTCTTCAGTTTTTTTTATTTTTTATTTGCTAACGCGCAATACAAAAGTATCCTACAAACAGCTTTAACTTTTTTTTATAGAAGAATTGAATTTTCTTATCCATAAGAATATATTACAAAAGCCTGAAATTAATATAAAAGAAAAAAAAACAAATATAATTTTGCTAAAATAATTTTATTAAACAATTTGGAGATTTTTGTCTACACATCGTATATGCTTTCATATTCTGCCCTTTTTTCTTTTATGAATTTCTCACATCTGTGTTAAAAAATAACGAAATAATCGAGAGTTATTCCCTGTCGGTTTATTTCGGAGGCGAATAGGCGCGATGATTTAAATCTCGCGTGCAAACGCCATAAAATCAGGACGACCGCTGCTAAAGCCGCGCGGGAATATATGACGAAGCCGAAAGACGCCGAAACAAATCTTCATTTCTGGTAGCCGGTGAAAGCGTACACGCGTGCGGAAAAAGGAGGCAGTAACGACGATATGACTGTGTTTCGCAGCCAAGAAGACATGTGTCGCGTGCAGTTATATCATTCTTTATGGCCAGCAAAGCCGGTGCCCTTCGTTCATTCAGCGTCGACTTCGTCCTTCGCGCAATATTTGGAGGGGCTTGATTTACACCGGCATAAAAATGTCTCCACACCTCGGCTGTGATATCACCTACTGCTCATACCTTCGCTCGAACGCGGCAAGAAACCGCGTCCTTTGATAAAAGCTTGTACTGACTAGTTTCCTTATGAGCTTTTTAAAGTTGTCGTCTCATGGGCTTTTTAATAATAAACGTAGAAAGGCGAATATCTAAAATCGTTAAATAACGAAAATATAAAGATGTAAAATATATATTTTCAAATTTATATAATATGGAATAATAATATAAAACATATAAGAAACAAAGTTAATCAATTTAATTGTATGTGTGATCATGACATATAATTAAATAATAAAATAAATATAAATATTAAAGTTCGGCAATTATATATGTTTATATAGCCTTTGTTTGCAATGCATTATTTCCACGTTGTACGATATGTATACTATTTAGAAATTTTGCAAATATTTATAATTAAAACATTTATACATTATTACACTAAATTAAATGTTACTACACTAGCCTTAGTGTAAATAATAATTAGATATTTATTATTACCTATAATATATATCTGCGAAACAGGTAGAATGCCGCTTTCGCGATTACTATATGAAAAATAATGATCGCAATCATACGTTTTTTCGATATTTATCGAATTACTTCTTCGTTTTTTAATCTCTGATAGAAAAACCAGGAGATCTGCACAGTTCTAGATTATAACTAAAAGGAAATATGTTGGACTTACGAAAGCGTTGCCTACAAACGCATTATTCATACGCTACTACTGAGAATCTAAAAGTAGCTTTCGTCAAATCAAATGGAAATTCTTACGTATCTTTTATTTGCAATTATCACCGAGTAGTGGAGTTGCTTGCGGTTTTTACGGAACGTGATACAGAAATTGCCCAGAAGATCGAGTCCGATCGATTCTCACGCGTATAACGACGCCAACGACGCCGACAACGACTAACTCCACGAAGGGGCAATAAATAACGGGAATATCAAAGGGTTATCAGATCTAAGCAGACCTCCTACGTCTGGCGCAACTTCTGACACGTGGAGTGACGATGCTGTAATGTCGACGGCAAAGTGTGCGCGTGTAGGGTGAGTTTGTGAGAGTAAAGAGGGAGGGATGAGGAGGTAGGTAGGCGCGAAGCTATTAAACTGACAGAAACACTTGCCACCCCCTCGTCGCTACCCCCGATCTACTGCTGCCCTCTGCCCCCCGCCCGCCGCTCACGACCCACGACCATGTCATCCCTTACTCGGGAAGCCCTTCGTCCTTTACTCTGCAACACCGGAGTTATTAATATTTTTCACAGCCCCCGAAAAATTGTCTCTCCCGCGCCGCAGCCGAGCTTCCATACTGGAGAAGCAATTTTGCGGGCGTGTCGTTCCGACTGCCGCTGTCAAAGGATAGAGCGACAGATAGCGACGCCTTTCCCTCATCGCCCGCAACACACTTGTATTTTAATCAGAAATTGACATTGGAAAATATATAAATCTATGTTTTTTTTTTTAATTAAACAACATGCATTGTTACATCTTAAAATCATTTTTAAAATTGATAATGCATGCGGATTTTGCACAATTAAGTAATTGTAAAAAGCTCGAAACATCTTAGTTTTTGTTGGAACATTTTAGTCCTTAACAAATCTTAATCATTATTTGCCACAAATTTTCACGAACAATTATTCTCTGTTACTTTTTATCATCAAACAAATTGCCTGGATGAGAGTAAAACTCGAGAAACTTATCGATATTTATTTTCACGCGGCACTTGAAGTGCACAATATCTCATTATGCGATCCCCTGAAGTTCGATTGAGAATCTGTCGACGCCGAGAGAGAGCAGACTGCTCGACGACGTCTCCGTCGACCGTTAACGGTCGCGCAGAAAAGAAGTAGCCGGCCGAGGAAGAAAAAAAGAAGAGAGACAGAGAGAGAGAGAAAGGGAGCGCTAACTCATTGAAGAGGCTGAAGGAGAATACGGAGTCAATCCTCGAGGCGACTAAACAATTGTCTCGTGCTCGAGTGGCCTCCTGTAAATTCGCGTAGCCGACTTCTCGATGTGCCCCCGAAACGATTGGCGCGTCTCCCCACAAAGACACCGAGCGGAGAGAATGAGAGCCGAGGCCCAGAGCGCGCTGAAAAGGATCGAGATTCGAGAGAGACGTGCATGTCCGTGAATGCCATTATCGCGAACAACGTGCACGAGTACACAGCCATGATCCCGAGTGGCCGAAATAGCGAATGGCGAATCTACGAGTCGTGTCAACGGTCGACCCGAGAGTCTATAATTTGTGTTTCGAGTCGAGAGAATCGCTGTCGCCCTCTCGCTCTCACCCTCGGTAATGTTGTGCATGCACACGACGCCTCGCCTTTCGACGCGCTGGCTTCTAATGTGTCATTGAGGGCCACGTTATATGGCATAAGTAGTCGCGCAGAAGAAAGAATGGGAAGCGGAGACAAGGAAAGCGAGACCGCCCTCCCGCCTGGAGGAACTTGAGACGCGATTGTTGTGCGCCGCGTGCACAGCGTGCACCAGGAGCATTGTCCTTCGTTAGAGGCCACCGGAAGTCACCGGAAGACGATGAACTAACGGAAGACCCCGTGCTCCGTGGGGCTCCTTCTGCTCTCGCGAAACGCCCCCCGTCTCGATAGAATCCGCAGCTTGTCGTCGACCCCCTTAGAGACTTACTCTCGACTTAACGATTTTCAGAGTCAAGTTTTGTTCGCTGTAAAATATTGCGAGAGATTTTTATAAGAAAACTTTCTTTCTCGAAATACAGATCAGGCGAACGCAACTTTTTCAAGCTTTGTAGTCATCCTTGAGTTTTATTTGTTACGTTATACGTTTTGGTTTTTTTATATAGTAATATAAGAGAATTTCAATTGTTCAATAATAACAATGGCGGAAAGTGATATTTGACAGAATTATACAGAATATTAAAACATACGAGTATAGAATAATATAATTTTACGTTTTGTTTGAAATATATTTTTTAGGTGCATCTCGTAA